TAGGAGTGACCTGGGTCAGAGGAAGTTCCCAGGACCCAGGTATATATGCAAATTATCTACCATCTATGTTGGGTTAGTTTGTATACTTATTCTAATTGGCTCTGGGCGTAGTGGAGGTATGGTCATGTTTCTCTATTTACATGTTTCTCTATTATTAGGTAAGATAAGTATGCAGGCTACATTTTTTTGTGTGTGTGAACTTCGCTATATGTGACCTTATAAAGAAGTAGGGACAATTTTTCAGATGACACTAGTTGAAGAAGTTGAAGAATTCAACCCAGATTTTGTAAAACATGACTTATTTCCCTATAAGGTGAGCTCTCGGCTTAATAGAGAGCCTTATCTGTCCTCTTATCCAATGGCAAGCATTTGAGTCTCAGGATGTGTAACCTGGAGGTCTAAGACACCATTGTATTATATGTAAAATTTTGTTTGTGTGTATTTTCTAGGATGAGGGAAGCCCATGGTGTTTTGTTATTCTTACAACTTAAAATTTGTTTTAAAATATTGATTTTAGAGAGGAAGAGAGTGTGAGAAGAACCAGAAACAGTAATGTGAGAGAGAAACATCCATTGATTGCCTTCTGATTCTCCCTGACCAGGGATTAAATCCACAACCTGGGTATTTGCCCTGAGCAGGGATTGAACCTGCTACCTTTTGGTAAGGGACAACGCTCCAACCAACTGAGCCACAGTGGCCAGGACTACAGCATATATATATATATTTTTTTTTTCTTTCAGCCTGACCATAGGAATTGACAACAGGACTGAATGAAAATTCTTGTGGATGATCAGCCATATCAAATGCTTATCCTCCTTAATTGTGCTAAAGTAATTTAACATTTGAATAGAGCTTTACAGTTTACAGAACTCTCCCACATATATTATACTAGAGGCCCAGTGAATGAAATTCGTGCACTCAGGGAGGGGTTGGGTCCCTCAGCCCAGCCTACACCCTCTCTCAGTCTGGGAGCCCTCAGGGGCTGCTGTGGAGGCGGGAAAGACTCCTGCCACTGCCACTGTGCTCGCCAGCTGTGATACCGGCTTCTGACTGAGTGGTGCTCCCCCTGTGGGGGCAGCTCCTGTTTTGAGCGTCTGCCCCTTGGTGGTCAGTGCGTGTCATAGCAACCCATCATTCCACCATTTGGTTGATTTGCATATCAGCCTGCACCCTCTCCAATCTTGGACCCCTCGAGGGACATCCCTCTCACAATCCAAGACTGCTGGCTCCCAACTGCTCATCTTTCTGCCTTACTGATTGCCCCTAACCACTTCTGCCTGCCAGCCTGATCACCCCCTAACCACTCCCCGCCAGCCTGATTGATGCCTATACTGCTCCCCTGCCAGCCTGATTGCCCTCTCCTGCAGGCCTGGTCCCCCCAACTGTCCTTCCCTGCAGGCCCAATTGCCCCCAACTTAACTCCTCTGCTGCCTGCTCACCCCTAACTGTCCTCCCCTGCAGGCTTGATCATCCCCAACTGCCCTCCCCTGCTGGCCATCTGGTGGTGGCCATCTTGTGTCCACATGGGGGCAGAATCTACATGGGAGCAGCCATCTTTTGCGTTGGAGTGATGGTCAATCTGCATATTACTCTTTTATTAGATAGGATGATTCTCACAAAAATTCTATGACGTTGCTACAGTTATTGGCTCTGTTCTACAGGTTAGCAAGAAGCTCAGCGAGATTAGGTCACTTGCCTAAAAGCATAAAATTAGGAACAGGGCCTCCAGGCAGACTCATTTTTGAGTTTGCTGCTTTTAATAATTAAACTACATAGTCTCTTTTGAACTAGGTTTTCCCATTTCTCCAAAGCAGAAGGGTGATTTAAATGTGCCTAGTAGATTCCTTTAGCTATTTGCCTGGTATAATTTCAGAAACAAATATGGGCCCTGGTTTAGAAGCTAGTGATAGGGACAATCTTAATTTCCAAGTCTACCTGATAGAGGTAGATGTGAAAGGAAAAGATTTGAATTTAGAAAATTCTTTGTAAATACTGCCATCTCTAAATATAGATCAGACTAACCCATGAGATCAGACCTATGTACCTCCTTCCTGCTACAAGAGAATGAGGTTACCCCATTTCCATCTACTCCCAGAGCTTTAGGCCTGCCTTACCCTTGGTTGAGTATACATGGAATGAATGCATATATCAACTTATGAGCTGCTTCTGGTGTAAGGAATTCACTTCTTAAATGAATAGTAAAGGTAGGCAGACTTTATAAATAACCTGTGTATACTGTCTCTTAGCAGTTAAGAGTTATTTAGACAGAGTTGAATTATTGTGCCTATAACCACAGTATCAGTTTGTCTTACTAAATCTTTTTTTTTTTTTTTTTTTTTTTTTGATACATGATTAGAGAGAGAGAAATGGTCTTGTGTCCTTGGCAATCATTTCCTCTTTATTATGAGGCATAAAGGCGAGAACAGCATGAGCCACCCACAGGGAATTAGTAGTAAAGAGGAGCTTGAAGGGGAATAAATGTTTAAAAAATAAAAAATAGTAAAAGATGATAGAAGATTAAAAGGCCTGGTTTGGCAGTATTCAGCTGAGAGAAGGAGAAAGGTTTGTCTTATTACCTGTTCAATGAATGCCCTGGAGATAAATGAGAATTTCAGCTGTAGAAAACACTGATGGTCCCTCCTCTGTGGAGAAAGGTTGGGTTTTTGCTCCCTTAGGACATAAGTGAAAGCAGTTTTCTTGGGATTAGATTGAACTTGCTTTTCTGTATTTCCTTTTTCTTCTCACCCTCTGCTACAAATCTGCACATCCAGTTTTTCCTGTCAGAGAGCTCCTTCTTTCTCTGACTGCTAGCCCCATCTGTCATCTTTGCCTCCCATCCCAGTTTTACAATTTTTACATTATGCTTTTCCTGATTTTACTGTCTCCAACTTTTCCTTCATCCCCACCTTCTAAATCCCTCCATCCTCCAAAGCCAATGGCCACCATTCAGTTTCCTTCTTTCTCGTTGTTGAACAGAATGTACTGATGTTAGAACTTTGTCAAACCTGTTTGAAATCTGAGCCCAGTTATGTATTATAGTGGGTGGAGATAATGGTAGGGAAGGGGCGGGAGGTTATTTTTCTGAAATGGAGGCTTTCCTAAAATATTAGATGACTTTTGACTCAGAGATCAAACAGATGCTTCTGCTGGCCTTCCAACTTTAGGCAGTGTGCTCATGTTGAGGGCACATATTTGTTTGAAAACCTTTGGTAATGAAAGGCAGGACAGACAGCTTCATGCCTCCTCCTTCTGTTGCTAGCTGGTTCTTCTCCTGATTGGCAGCTAATTTTGGATAGATAATAAAGAAGATGGTTGCTAATAACTTTCCCTTTTAACTCTGATCTCACAGTATAGGCATACCTCATTTTATTGTTTTTCACAGATGTTGTGGGTATGTTTTTTTTTGTTTTGTTTTGTTTTGTTTTACAAATTGAAGGCAAGATGCTCCCTGCACCAGCTTTATTGCAGTTGTCTGGAACCAACCAACAGTATCTCTGAGGTTTGCCTGTATTTTATAGAGAGAATTTTTCCCCTCCTTTACCACTAGAAGGAGAAATAGATGTTTTCATGATATTTGAAACTGTCAGGGAATCCCCTGTTTGGTTTGTTTATAGGCAGTAGATTTGTTGGAAAGAATTGTAGATGAAGATTTAAAGACCTGTGTTTTGATCCCAGCTTTAGTGAGGATTGCCTTAAGTGATCTTGGGCAAAGTTATGAACCTTTCTCTGCACCTGCCCCATGAATTTTGTGAAATTATGTGGATGAAATGAGATGTGATATGTGTGGAAGCACTTTGTAAACTGTTAGGTTTTTGCTGAATGAACCCTTGGTGGAGTAAGTAGCTGAGAGTATGCTTGCATTGCGATTTGGTTTTCTGTGGACCCCACTCCATGTTCTTCAAATAAACCTGGATTTTTAAAATTTCTCTCTGCCATTGCTACTGTATCTTATGAAAGTGTAACCTCAAGCAAATTTTGGACAAGTGAAAGTAGGCATCAACTTTAGTTTCTGGGCAGTGCCTGGCAACATTGTTGAGGCTTAGCCTTCACCATAGAGTTTAATTCATCATTATACATCTTTCATTCTTTTTTAGCTGGCCTCTGTGAGTCAGACAACTAAACTATGTAGAGAGAGCCTGCCAAGTACCATGGTTATTTTTAAGACTAACTTTTCAGGATTATTTTCTAGTTGTATGGGATTATGGAGGGCATAGTCCATCCCTCCATTCATTGGCAATGAGTTGAGTTGCTGTTATTATTGGTTGCACTCCTGAACTGACCCCCATAGTAATTCTCACTATGAAGATGGTCTTGTTTTCCTATGCCTGAGGGTCTTCAGTCAAATAGAGGCTGCCTAATCACAGATAACTAGGTTGTTTGTTAGCCATGGGTCCAGGGAAGAATATGATGTGGGGAAAATATAATCTGAATTCAGGATAGAATCCTGCATGAGAGAGAAATTTGCTATCCTTTCAGTTGAAATTTGAATTCTGACTCCCAAGAGGTGTTCATAGATTAGTTAATACTTCTTGTCAAGGCCCACAAAAGACATTGTATTTTTAACAATGTGTTCAAAAGAGAGATCCTGACTTCGAGAATACACCTGCTGCAACTTCTGGTTATCTTTCATCACTTGTTTGAGTTTGAACAGGTTTGTGCTCTAAGGAAGAGACTCCTCCCTGTCACTGGAGGCTTTTTCATTTCTCCCAGCTGGGCCCATTGTTAAAATGCTTTCCAGTGGCTTGCTTTTGCCTGGCCAGCCCCAGCTTGTAATTAGCCTGCCTTTGCTTCATAAACTTCCCAGGGTGGTTCTTCTTCTTAAAGCTTGTATGAAATGCTGTTTACTGTTTCGTTAGAGTTTAAAAATTAAGCCTTTTTTGTTCTTTGCAACTCATTTGCCTTTTTCTTTTTCTTTAAATTACTATTAACACCTGTTGATTCTTTTTTTTTTTCTTTTTCTGATTGGCCTATCATTGCATTCCTGCTCCCCCTCCCTCTAGCTGGGTTTGTCAAGTCGCCCATGTCAGAAACTAAGCTCACTGGGGACGCCTTTGAGCTGTACTGTGATGTGGTCGGGAGCCCCACGCCAGAGATCCAGTGGTGGTACGCAGAAGTCAACCGAGCAGAGTCTTTCAGACAGCTGTGGGACGGTGCACGGAAGCGCCGTGTCACCGTAAACACCGCCTACGGGTCAAACGGCGTGAGTGTGCTGAGAATAACCCGGCTCACCTTGGAGGACTCTGGGACTTACGAGTGCAGGGCCAGCAACGACCCCAAGAGGAATGACTTGAGGCAAAACCCCTCCATAACATGGATTCGAGCCCAGGCCACCATAAACATCCTTCAGAGTGAGTTCAGCACCCTACAGTAGTAGTACTGTAGTTATTAGAGGTGGCCCAATGACCCTTCCCTTCTGCTTCCTTTCCCTCTTCCCCAGTATGATCACTCACCCCACCCCTTGTCTTTGTTTTTTTCAGAACCATAATCCAAATTGTAGTGTATGAAAACATCTGTGGCAACTTTTTTCCCCCTTTACTGTCCTTTCTACCTCCCTTATTCTCCACCCCTTCTCTGTGTCTTTCTTTCATCTGCATTGGGAAGAGGTGGGGAGGAGGGAGTACTGGGGAGACTGAAAAACAAGCAAAAAAACCTCACTTAACACTCACAAAACCAGGCAGTCAAGTCAAGCCAGCATAGTGTTGAATTGTTTCTCTTTTCTTCCCCTTTAATTTTATAGTAATTTCCTGGTATCCTTTTGCTGATTTTTTTTCTCTGGTGTCTTTCTATTTTTGTTTCTCTCTACAATCTACTTTTTATTTCTTCTATTTTTTTTTTTGAAGCTCTCTGAATAGCTGCCTTCACCTCTATAGTTTTCAGTTTGTTTGCCCAGCCTTTTCCCTTACTGTGACTTGGTGTCATTTTGTTCTGTGATGGGAATGTCGCTATTGGTACAGTGTCGGTGGTACGTTTTGGTTGTTGGATGGCATGTAAGTTTGGATATTTCCATAGTTCCAGTTATTTTTCTTTTCTAAAGCAGTGGCATGTACTTATCAGATAATAGCCTTCCACTATAGCAGTATGCTCCTTACTGGTCCTGCCCATCCAGTCTCCTGTTCTCTTAAAAGCAGCGGCTTGAGATTTCTTCCATATGTCTTGCTATGGAGTCAGGTGACTCTAAGCTGCAAGGTATTTATTTAAAACCCCATCATGCTATTTTGAAGTCACAGATGCATCTGATCCTTATTCACAAACATGTTGATTCTGATGACAGATTGTTGGCACTGTGCTCCTCACCTCAGAGGTTGGTTACCCAGAATTAGTTAGGAAGACAATCACACTAGCCTTTAATTGTGTCTTAAAAAAAAAAAAAAGGAAATTAGAATCCAACCCTGTTCCTCTTGAGTGATGAGGGTAAGCTCAGCTGCCTCAGAATCATCCCCTGCATCTGTTGTAGCAAGTACAAATAAGACATTAGACACAGGAGCTTTCGGGGCCATCTCTGTTTCTAAAAGTATCTTGCTACTTGTCTGATGGGAAGGAGAGGAAGGGAAAGCCACTACAGAGCCAGTACTCTCAGCCAGGAAGACTTTTAGGTCTATATCTGACCTGATTATAATTGAGAGAACATTCCTTATTTAATTAAAAGATCTGTGTTTTTCATCTTTTCTTCAAGGACTCAGTCAGTAAGAGACATATAGCCAGTTCTGGCTTAAAGAACTGATCTATATAGAGTAAAAATAAAATAGCAAGTTAGTCATCCTTTATAATAATTAAAAATATGCCTATGAAGAAAAGAGGCCTTGAGGAGAGAGAGGAGAGGCGACTGCTGTTGGCACTGTTGAATCAGAGACCCTGCTTCTGGAAAGAGGAAAAGAAAACCTTGCCTATGTGAAAATGGGGAACATTAACTCAGTAATATTTTTTATTTACTAACAAAGTTTTCCCCTCGGACGCCTCCTTCTCCTGCCCCATTGCTCCTTTCCTTAAAAAACTAGAATTACCCAAATGGACACAAAGATCTGGATAAGTTTATAGGCATGGACTGGGGTCTGCCATTTGCAATTTATATTTCCAGGAGCCTGACTCTAGTCGATTCCCAGTTAAAAGGTCATGCCTTGGGGATAGAAGAGGACTGCCAGACTTGAGAGTATGCAGCATTCACCCAGTTTACTTGCAAGTAAGCTTCCTAAATTTGAGGGTATCTGCATGAGGTTGAATGGAACCCTGGCTAGTTTGGTATTTCCTCAGACTTCCCTATCAGTTATTTAACCCTAGTTAACAGTTTTGGAGAGCTAGGCTGCTGCTGCTGCTGCTGCTGCTGCTCCTCCTGCTCCTGCTCCTCCTCCTCCTCCTCCTCTTTTTTTTTTTTTTTTTTTGCAATGCCCTGATTCCACTCTAATTAGATTGTTTTATGATCCCCAAGGACATTTGCCTAAGGATATGTTGACTTGTGTCTTGGGGAGTGTTGAAGTCTTATGCCCAAGAATGACCTCCTGGAAGTATTTTTCCCCAAAGCTCCTTGAGTAATATAAGGCTGGAAGAGAAATGTGCCCAGTTTTTGGGAAATATCCCCAAAAATGGGCACATTTCTCTGGCCACTGCATGTTCTACATATGAATGATGGCTAAGGTAAGGATCTCCTACTGCTTCTAAATAGGAATCTGTGGCAGGTAAAAAAAATCTTGGATATATTATAAATGTTCATCTTTCTTGGACTTTGTAGGCATTGCTTGGTCACAGAAATAAAAGCCCAGCCTTCATCCTGGTACAGAATGCAGATGTGGCTTTGTGCCCAAAGAGGATGGTCTAACACTGGTTTCCATATACAGCAGTTATGTGCAGAATTATTATATTTAAACCTATTTATATTATTCACTTGCTCCCAGCTGACTCTCTCCGGATCTTTTAACACGTAGGGGAAAAGTGCTTTCTTTTGTTTTCCAAGAATTCTTGGCAGAAACTCTACCAGGTTGCTTTTATCAACTTCTTAATAACCCTGAGCTGTAATGATCATTTGCATCACCCCAGGTAACAGTAGCATTTACTTTGGCTTTCTTGTATTTAAACATCTGAAAGCTCTTGGCCTCATTCTCAGTTTGCCCTTTCTCAGTGTAGTCTGAGAGGAAGAACCAGGAGAGCAATAAGTGGGACAGAAAATGACATTGGATAATAAAAATTTAGCAAAAACCTAAAAGTGTGTTTGAGTTTTAATGTTATCTTTATATTTTTTAATTTCTGTGGAGTTTTGGTTATCTCTTTTGTTTTTGCTTGGTTTTGATTCTTCTTGGAGTTTTGATGCTTTTTGTTGATGATGTGTGTGCGCCTTCCATTTCAAGGTTTGTAGCCGTTCTGCTCCACTTAAGACCCAGGGATTTGGCTACTGTCCAGTGTGTTTTGGAAACCATGGGACACCACTGCGCTAACATGTTTACATGCATCTGCTTTTGTGTTAGTGGCTGCTACGCCTCCATTATCTGTACATAGAGACCCTGTTTGATGTTACCAATAAGCACCAGTGCTGACTGGAAGATAACCACTATCCTTTTGCCAGAGTTGGAAAATAGTGAGAACCAATTTAATTGAGCAAACTTAAAGATTTGCTTTATCACATTTTTTTCTTTCGGTCTGACCTGTACAGTCAGAAATGTTACATTATAAGGTGGTCCTTGGGCATTACAATTTTTAAATGTTCCATGACCTCTTTATTCCCTTCCTCTCCCCACAAAATGAGTACAACTTAGTTCCAGTGGAGGGAGAGAGTTCTGTCCTCTAGAATTAACCTCAGCATTACATTTCATAAAATGGTGTCAGGAAGCTGTTACAGAGTTGTAGACAGGATATAGCTAGGTACAGGGATATGGAAAGTCTGTCAAGGATTTCTGAAAAAGAATTGGGGGAAAAAAAGTAAAAAAAGCAAGTACCTAATTGTGGAATGGGAAAAGAAGGATAATTTAGATTTACCCTGAAAATGATTGACCAAAATAGAAAAAAGAACTAAGCCTGGAAAAGAGTAAAGATAAATAACAACATCTTGACTTTAATACAGTGATGGAATTCAAAGTGCTTTAAGGATAAACCTTCCAGGAATGATATAGTGTACCTTAAAATTTTTTTAGTCATTATGCTATAACATTTGACTTAGGTTATTTTTGTAGATGTTAAAACTAGTGACCCCAGGTTATCTTAGCCCAGGATAGAACCAGAAGATAATTATGTAACTTGCCTTGGGTGGAAGGTATATAGGGTGTTTTGGGTTGGGAGTGGGGGGCAGGGATACAGAATTGAGCCAGATGTGTTTTATAGACCTGGCTTTGCCACTAATAGTAATAATGGCCTTCCACAGGTCATTTTACCTTCCTAGCTCTTAAAGAGTGGAATTCAATGAACTCTAAGAGTCCTTCGTCTAAAATTCCAGGAGTCTATAATACCAACATATACCATATTCTAGGTACAATTATATGATCTCAGAATGGAATGTTTTAAAAATGCAGTTCTAAAAATAATTTTGTTTTAGGAATAAGTAATTATGGGCTGGAGAGAACTAATGGTTCCTTAAGAATTTTCTCTCAGCAAAATTTGGAAAATGCTTTTAGGATGTATACTGCCTTCCCCCAGCTTCTTACCCCGCCCCCCCCCCCCCCCTTTGTAATAAATGACCATGACTGGTTTGCCATGGGCTTATCAGACTTACATGTAGGACAACCCGTACATGTATTATCTAATTATTGCCATTCTGTTCAAGGTCCTAGTGACTCCATAGGGAGTTTATTAGTTATATAAATGATACTGTCTTTATTTTTAGAATTGCAAGGTGGAGACTGTTTTCTATTTGAAGGGGAATTAGTTGGTGGTTCTTATGCCATAAAACGGTTGTATTCAAAAGTATAAATGGATTGTTGCCAGTATAAGCACCTGTAATACTCCCATTCTTTTCACATCTAGGCCAACTGGTCTTCAGACTGTTGTCTGCACTAGTGATCATTTGCGTATAATCATTGTTTTTCCTTTCTTGACTTCCTCCAAAGTTGGTAAAGTGAAATTCCTTATGTGGTCCTGTCTATCCTCCCTCTTTTTCTACCCCATCCAATTTTCAGGCCAGGGCCTCAGAGAATGGAAGGCTATGGCTCCCTATCATTGTGCACTCTTATTACAGAGCCAAGTATTGTCACCAGTGGAGAAGTCACTATTGGAGACCCTGCTCTCCCTATCACCCTGCAGTGTAACCTCACCTCCAGCTCTCACATCCTTACATACAGCTACTGGACAAAGAATGGGATAGAACTGACTGCCACTCGTAAGAATGCCAGCAACATGGAATACAGGTGAGAGGGGCTTGCATCTTCTGAGAAGATGGGAAGGAGTGTGGCTGACTGAGCTTACTTGACACTCATAATCCATAATTATGCTATGTGAGAGAGACATGAGATATATATGGTCCTCCTCTGGAGAGTCTAATCCAATATATCTGAGGTGAGGCTCAGCAATCTATAAAAGATTTTCAAATGATTCTAATGAGCTGTAGATGATCTTGTCATTATGATAATAAAGAGACAGAGTATAGGGAGTGATTTTACTCAGGCTCACAATGCTAGTCAATAGGAAAGTCACAATTAGAATGCAGGTCTCTTGACCTAATCCTGTAGTTAGAGCAGATTTTAGAGCAAGGCCACCTTAAGTGACCTTTCCACTGGGTAGATGATTTCCTAGTGAATTACCTTTTAGGAGTATTTAATATAACCATAACTTGATCAGGACCATTGGAAACAGGGCTGTTTAGTGATCTGGAATAAGGATGGTAGCCTGGAAATAATCCTTTGATGAAAGGGAGATATTTGCTGGTTGATGTTATCTGGCACCCAAAGATTTGGTGCTTTTTTGGAATATCTAGTAACACATGGCACTTCACCTTTCAGAATAATTTGTTTATGGTTAAAAACTAATCTGGAAAAGGATCAGCTAATCCTGCTGGCAGCACGATACAGAGCATAGAAAGAGTACACTGCAGTGAGAATAGGAAAACTTTTGTATCCACTGTAACAAGACCATTCTGCAGTATTTTGCAGAATTGAGATTTTTTTCCTACCCCTTATTTAGTTGATCCACATTAATCATGGATCCTTCTCCTTTTTGGTGGTAATGAAACTAAGATTCAAATAACTGTTGATTGCTTTCAAGGCCAAATATTATGTCTGATAAGTTTCAGAATCAAAGCTAGGTTTCAGGTCTTCTTTCTGGAATATATATCATCATTTTTTTTCTACTGTACCATATCGTTAAGTGGCAAGCTAATCTATCTCCACTGTAGTTTCTTCTGATACAAACTTTGAAATAAAGCCTCTGTTATATCCTTACAGTTTGGAAAAGGTTAATCAAGTAGAAGTGTTGGGTGGAGTAAAAAGCATTATTTCTTGGCCTGTCCATTAGTTTTATAAGTTTTGTTTTTGATTTTTTATAATACCTCTTTCAGTGTACCAAACATCCAGTCATGTTTCTCTTGGGTCTCGTGCTTTGTTACCCAAATAGCTTTAAATTGTAACTTCATAAAGTTTGAGCTTGACTTTATAAATGCATTTTCTCTTTTTTTCTCAGCATATTTATATTTTTATTAATAGTTTTGTAACATATTTTATTGATTTCTTACAGAGAGGAAGGGAGAGAGATGGAGTTAGAAACGTCGATGAGAGAGAAACATCAATCAGCTGCCTCTTGCACACCCCCTACTGGGTATGTACCCATAACCAAGGTACATGCCCTTGACCGGAATCGAACCTGGGACCCTTGAGTCTGCTCTATCCACTGAGCCAAACCGGTTAGAGCTTTCTCAGCATATTTAAAGCTCTCCAGAAGTGTTCTGCATTGTCAACAGTTTTTTTTTTTTTTTTGAATCTGTGTTCTCCTACATTTTGTGGAATAACAACTGATGAATCCCTTGGGCCACCTAATAAGTCATCTCTGGAGCCAGTCTCAGATCTTGCTTCTGCTTAGCCAATAGTAACATTTTCCATTTGCCTCACTTGCTTCCCAATAGCTAGTCATAGGGAATGTTGTGGGAAGATTTCAGCCCATAGGCATGACCTTATCTTCCCAAATCTCGAGGAACTTAGAGTCCATCTAAGCCCTGGAGATAGAGCTTCTGCTTCTCCTCCAAGTTCTGGGACATTTGCTCCAAGCAGATTAGTCGTGTCTGCTTTTCTGTTGGGAGAATATTAATTTAAGAAGAGGCACTTATGTCAAATTGAGAAGACTCTTAACTGCTCCTATGAGACTATTATGTTACCATAGATATGCTGAGACAGTCAGGGGATGGGCAGTGTCTTTCCTCATCCATGATCTCTTAACTCTTATTTTTAGAATCAACAGTAAGAGGATAAATGTATTGGGCCAGTCAGTGGTCAAGGTGAGGAGTTTTTCTGACATTTACTAGTGCAGTAGAGATGTGACCATCACAACTACCATATTTTAACCACTGAGCAAAAGAGCAGGAGCTATCAAATGTTTATTTTCTAGCCTGAAGGCTATTGTTTCTCTGCTTTCTGTAATTACACACCAGCGTTTCTGTACATGTTTAGGGAAGTGATGTATAGGCTACACTGGACTGAGCAAGTGTGAAGCTGGTCCACAGTGGCAAGAAAGCTTATTTTAGATGACCTGTGGAATTCAAGGAAGTGCTGTTCTGGCCATTGTACATACTTCCTACAGTCTTTTCTGTCACTCTGCTTAATTTGGTTTGGATCTGTGCACAGCTGTTCATTCATTTGAGTTTGTGTTCAGCATTTGTTCATTCCTTTACTATATTCCATGTACCAGGCTACATGCTGGGTATAGGACTATGCATTAACCAAACAGTGCCTATCCACCATAACTGGTTTGGCTCCCTAGATAGAACATCTGCCTGTGGACTGAAAGGTCCCAGGTTCGATTCCCGTCAAGGGCATGTACCTTGGTTACAGGCACATCCCCAGTAGGAGGCGTGCAGGAGACAGCTGATCGATGTTTCTCTCCCATTCGTGTTTCTAATTATTTATCCCTCTCCCTTCCTCTCTGTAAAAAAAAAAAAATCAATAAAATATATTTTTAAAAAATAGTGCCTATTCTCATAGAACTACTTTTTTTGGAAAAATGGGCAATTATCAATCACATAAATATACAGAAAGTAGGGTGGGGCAGAGTAGGTTTACATTTGTGAATATACAAAACACAGAATTTATTCTATATTATTATAAGTTACTAGAGGTCCAGCACACAAAATTCATGCAAGGGGCTTGGCCCTTGCAGCCTCAACAGGCCCTCACAGCCCCTCATAGCCCCAGCTTCAACCAGAAGGTCGTCCGGCTATTTGGTCTAATTAGCATATTAGCTCTTTATTATATGGGATTACATTATTTTTCATGCAAACAACTCTAAACCTGCTTTTGCCCCACTTTCTATATGCATTGTGATAAGTACAATGTAGTTTGAGAGAGAATGTCAGGAAGAGGGATGTCACTTAAGTTGAGGGTGAGAGGTGGGCCAAGATAATGGAAAAGGGACTTTCGTGGCTAAGAGTGATGGGAAGAGCATGCTATATAAAGAATGTCAAAGTTTTGAGATAGGAACAAGTTTGGCACATTAAAAAAAAACAAAAGAGACCAGCAGGGCTGGAAAGTGGCTGAGAGGAGGCTAGGAAGATGGGCAAGGTGCAAGGTCATGCAAAGTGCCAGGTCATGTAAAAGTTCAGCTACATCTCTGGCATATGCTCTGATGGCAGGTTTTTGTTTGTTTTGTTACTGTCTCTGGATCCTGTTAGTGAGTTGACTTATTGAAAGGCATGTTGCTTAAAATACAGAGTAAGAAGTACAGGACTATTTAAAATAAAAAAGGTCTCGCTGAAACCGGTTTGGCTCAGTGGATAGAGCGTCAGCCTGCGGACTGAAGGGTCCTGGGTTCGATTCCGGTCAAGAGCACCTTGGTTGCGGGCACATCCCTGGTGGGGGGTGTGCAAGAGGCAGCTGATCAAAGATTCTCTCTCATCGATGTTTCTAACTCTATCCCTCTCTCTCCCTCTCTGTAAAAAATCAATAAAATATATTTTTAAAAAATAAATAAATAAAAATAAACAAAAAGTTCTCTAGGGAAGCACAGAAACAAGTTTGCATTTTTCCCTGTTCTTATTTATTTGACTGAAACTACAAAGGTGAGCAATAAGTCTTTTTGATGGCTTTATCTTCTATATCTGAATATAGATTATAATGCTTTGTACAGCCTTTTATTTTGATTACTTGTTTTGTGATTTATTTGCGCCATTAGACTGAATACCTTAAGGTTTGGGAACTTGTATCATTTCATCTTTGTATTTCTGGCACCCAGTAATACAAATAGATAGGAGGAGGTAAGTTGTATTCAGGGGCACAATTTGGAAAGCAGAGTTGGCCCCCTGGATACTTATTTTGTATATTTTGACTGTTTCCAGCTTCCTCACTTTATTTTTCTTCTCATCTCTGCAGGATCAGTAAGCCGAGAGCTGAAGATTCAGGCGAATACCACTGTGTATATCACTTTCTCAGTGCTCCTAAAGCAAATGCTACCATTGAAGTGAAAGGTAAACACAATAGAGATGGTGGTGTGAGGCTCTCACTCTTCTTCCAAGGGAGTCCCAGACTTCAAGCTTTTCTTGTTTCCATTATGGGAGGCAATATAACTTTATTAGGACTCAGGAGCTCAGCTGCCCAGGTTTAAATCTACACCCCATCATTTACATCCCACAGGACTGTGACGAATTATTAATTTCTGTATGTTTTAGTTTCCTCATTTGTAAGATATGCCTCATGGGTTTGTTAGGTGGATTAAATAAGTTTACACAGTAGGTTGAACCATATGAAATTACTGTTTTTGTATGTTAAAAATGCTTGAATGTTGACAGCTGTGTGTGGTTCAACCTTATGTAAAGCTCTTAGAGTGGTGCCTTCTGAGTATTATTACATAGGTCTCTCCAGTGTTCTGGGTAAACATTAGCTATTTATAGATAATCCATTAGAATTTTTCTATTAACTCTGGGTGCATGGCATCTTAACACATTAAGGGCCCAGCCTGTTTTGTCTTCTGGACGGAAAGTATAATGTTAGTCATCGGTGACTGGGCACTTAACCATGTTAAAGATGAGACTACAGCAGAAAGATCCAAGAAAAACTAATAGAACTGTATGAGTTGGGACTACTTAAGTACATCATTAATCACAGCTTTCCTGTGTTATTTCAAAGAAACAACTGAGACCCAGAAAAATGAAGCCATTGCTCTGTGCCATACAGTGAATTGGTGGTCAAGCTAGCATAGAACCTTAGGTTTTGATTCCTAGTCCTTTGTTTTTCCATTTTATAAAATGACCATGGGGAGGCAGGGTTACTGTTTCAAGTTGGACTGAAGACATGAAGGGTTGTTTTTTATTTTATTTTATTTTTTTAATTTTACTTAGGAGGACATCCTGTTCTTTAAATCCATAGGGTATGGTCTTTAGAAGCTAAAGGGATACATTTAGGAAATAGGAAGGGCATATATAGTAGGTATTCACTGTTCCTTAAAATATTTGGAAGATTAAAAATTCAAATTCAAGTAGACTTAGACACATTTAAAGTTTCTATTATATGTTGTTATTAAATGAAAGTAATGTCTTGATGACACAGCCCTGACTTGTGAGTGCATTGACAGCCAGTATCTTTTCTGGCTGCCAGGCTGAATTCTAAAGCCTGAAGGGGTTGAGACACAGTTGCATGGTTTCACTCTACACAGGCCAGAGAACCTGAATTTGTTTAATTCAGTGGCATTCCTTGGAGAGATCTGGGTTTACCTTTGTTTTTAAAGAATGCCTCATTTGTTCAACATGAGGATGAAGGTATGAGAAAGCATTTTCTCAGCCAGCCAAGGGTATTTCCCCACTTGGGTGAGCTGAGTTCCATGGGAGACTCTTCTATGTAAGACCTGAGGATCTGCAACATTCCAGGCTGAGCCTTTGGCACAAAGTCCAAGTGCAAAGGGAACAGGATGTGTGAGAGAAGGAAAGTAGTGTATCTAGTTAATAGTCCTCTCCAAGCCTAAAGGATAATTACATACAATTACAAGCTCTGATGAACTGTAATCCTAGTGATTTGATGTCAATGATTTCTAAGCAGCACTTTCAGGAGTGGAAACAAAGTTTATTTTTCCATTAGTTTGGCTGCTCGAGATGGGATTCAGTGGCCCAGAGGTACCTTTCCTCACATTCTGTTGAGCAGATAGGAAGTGATCTGGAGGGGTAGGGAAGAGGAGGCTAGAGGGCAAGAGTGTTTCCAGAGGAAGTTACATCTTAAATGTTATCTTGCCATAGTGAAGGTGCACACTATACATTGTTGCATTTTTACTGTATAATAGCCTTATGAAGGGGATAGAGCAGGTGGTGATAATCCTGGTTTTAAAGAAGTAGGCCTAAAGAAAATTCTTTTTATAGAATCCTAAAACATTTTGTGACTAGCTTGGACAAATATGTTAGTCTCTTAAGAAAATTCTTAAAGAATTCTAGTTTAAAGATTTGCCTCAGGCCCCAAGTCATATTCTAGGCTAGCTCCCTAGTGTGGTAGGGTAGAAAATTGCCTTGCATTTAGAGTGGGATAAGAGGGTGGTGTGTTATTCCCAAAGCATTTTAATATAAAGTCATTTTATTTCCTAAGTGCCTATAGGTGGAGTAAGGACAGTTTTCTTTTTATAACTATAATGGTTTGAAAAATCTGCTGAGTAATTGAGAGATAAGATGTATCTATACTGAGAATAGAAATTCCAGGGGATTCAGGGAACATAAATGACCTCTGCTGACAGGAGTCTCTGAAAATCTTCATTTATAATTCAGACTATACATATATATTTCTTTAGCATCTGTTCTACACATAGCCCTTTTCTTTCCCATCTGGCTTTAATCTTCACAACTCTGAGGTAAATGATGTTATTATCTCCACTTTCCAGGTGAGAAATTGAGGCTGAAAGGAATTAAATGACTTGCACAGAGTGACAGAGTTAAGCAGTGGAGCCAGAGTGCTCACCTAGGTGCTCTAGTGCCAGAGCCTGTTCCCTAAACAGTAAACCATGTGGCCATGTTCAGCACATAACAACTTAAAGGACTCAGACTAAGTTAGAAGAAATGGGCTCTAATTCTGGCCCTGCCATTAAACTTAGTGAACTTTACCAGTCACTTTTCTTATTTAGCTGCCCAATGTATGATGAAATAGATTGAGATAGAGGGTCTTTAAGGTTCAGCAGGTCTCCTATGGTCTGAGATTTCCTTTTAAGGACACAGATGAGGAAATCGTTGGGTTATTGGAGGAAATATTTTCTAAGCTGCTTTTCCTGGTGGTTGTGACTTTCACCTTCTCAGCTTTGAGAATGTTACTTTAGGGCCTGCACAATTCTGCTCACTCTTCTCCCTATCTTATGGAACATTCCCCCCTGATCTCAAACACTGGTGCCATGACTGGTGTTAAAGCAGTCGTTCTCACATTTGATTTGATGTGTTTAACTATGGCCTGAGAATCAAACTTAGTAAGAGCACTGGGTGGTTATAATGTATAACCAAGGTTAGTATCTCTTCAGTGCTTCCTAGTCAGCGATTTCAGCTGCAGGAAAGGGAAAAGCCTCATCTGTAGGAGGCAGCACAAGTCTCCGACTGCTCTAGTTTTCATAACCAACCATGAACCTACTCTGTAGAGAAGCCTGTTGAGCCAAAAGCTGACATCCTTTTTGCTTCCATCTTGATCAGTTGCATATTGCTTGTTGGGCTTAGCCTTTGGTTAGCAGTAAATTTTAACACTCCCTCTGCTTTCAGCCAAGTCTCTAACTTGCCTACTGCAACAATGAGGTACATCTTGAATTTTATATTTTGCATAAAGGAGGCAAATAAATGGTTTATACAGTATCATTACGTTTACTTAGACATAGCCCACTCATTGAAAACACCTTTAAGGATGGCGTTGTGAAGTTAAGAATTTACTTTGAAAAGTGAACACTAAATAAGCAGTCCATATAAGAGGCCACATACTGTTCTTGGCTCGGTTATGTTTAACTTTACTTATCAACTTCAGCTGAACATATCGCTGTTGTGTAAGTTGATACTTTCTACGGCGACCATCCTGGCAGTGAAGCTGAATGCTCTGCTGAAGTGCAGGCAAGTCAGGCAACAGAAGGTACTGAGGAATGTGCATTTGTCCTCGACCCAGGTCATAAAAATTGGGTCAGTCATTGCTAGGTAACTAAAAGTCCTTTGGATTTCTTGTGTTGCCATTCATTAGGATACTGGAAGGATATCCATTAACCTAATTAGAGAAGGTGGATAGCAAGGTGAGAGATTGAGTTTATTCCTAGTGAGTCTGTGATCTCTTTTAAGAGTCTCTTTGTTACTTCCTTACCACTTCTGCCCTCATTCTTGTCATTGTCTATGCGTCCTTGAGAAGGTACAGGGAAGTAAAGAGTGTCTGCTTTGTCAGATTCCTCAGATCTACCTTCAGACCATCAGGACATGATTAAGCCGTTCGTTATTAAATGGCAAGTCCATATGAGGTGAGGCACCTTAATCAATATCAGTAGGTCATTAATGACTATAATTTGTCAGTGTCTGACCTGATTAAACCTTATTAGAGTCACAAACAGAAATCCTATTTATATCAGCAAACAGGGAGAGAACATGGTTATCATTATCTCTTTGATTTCTTAGAACTCCGAATGCCTGAGTCTAGGCCTAGCCTTTCCTTGCTCCAACTAACAGCTCAATTTAAATGTTTATTTTTGACACTGAACTCCAAACATATGTAAGATTGCTATAGAAATGTAATTCCATCCTTACAAGATCTCTATGAAAGTATGTGGATGTTATTCGTATTTTATAAAAGTGAAAACTGAAACTCAAAGGATTTTAAATGACCCATCTTAGGTTGCTCTTTGGCTGAGTAAGAGAGTCTCTATACAGCCCAAATAGGGCAATGTGTGTTTGATTTGGTGGCTATATTTGTTATCTATTGCTTAAAGCATCAAACGCTTGTTACCTCATAGTTTTTCTGTGGGTCAGGAATTAGGGAACAGATTAGTGGTATAGTTCTGGCTCAGGGTCTATCAAGCTCTTGGCTGGATCTGCAGTCATCTGAAAACTTAACTGGGGTTGGAGGATCTGTTTCCCAGGTGGCTTTCTCATGTGGCTATTGGCAAAAGGCCTTAGTTTCTCACTATCTGGGCCTCCTTACAGTCTGTCTGAGCATCGTTTCAGAGTGTGTGATTTCAGAGAGAGCAAGGAGAAAACCTTGCTTTCTTTTGAACTAGTACCTAAAGTTGTATACCTTTACTTCTGCTTTATTTTATTCATTAGAATTAAGTCACTAAGTCCAGCCCACACTACAAGGGAGGGAAATTAGATTCCACCTCTTGAAGGGAAGAATATTGGAGCATTTGTGGATACTTTAAAACCACCACTGTGGACTCTGAGCCCCAAAGGGGCCCCCTCTCTGACTACTGCGGACATGTGCTGTGAGCCTGGGCATTTCTTGCTCTGTAGTTCTGCTGTCCTGCTCAGCTGGTAGGGCAAGAACAGGCTTT